CACACGCGAAGGGCGCTGATGCCGCTGGCGGGGAATCCGTCGGGCATGACTGTCGCGGTGGAACCCGCGTCCCATCGCCGGGTTCGTTGGCCATGACCGCGATCGACAGGCCCGCTGATACGGACAAAGGCGAAACACGCGCCGGTGTCGTCGCCGCCCATTGCGGACGCGCGCCTGCCGCATTCGGGCCAGTCGACATCTTCTTCGCGGCGGTGAAGACCACGCGGATGCCGATGATCGTCACCGATCCGCGCCAGCCCGACAACCCTATCGTCTTCTGCAATGAAGCCTTTCAGCTTCATGACCGGTTATTCCGAGGACGAGATTCCTCGGCACCAATTGCCGGTTTCTGCAAGGTCCGGAGACCGGATCGCGACGTTGTGGCGCAAATCCGCGCGGCGGTGGAGCGGCGTGACGAGATCGCGGTCGAACTGCTCAACTATCGCAAGAACGGCTCGACCTTCTGGAACGCGTTGTTCGTGTCGCCGGTCTATGACGATGCGGGCGAACTCGTCTATTTCTTCAGCAGTCAGCTCGACATTTCGCGCCGGCGCGGGCCGAGGATGCGCTGCACGAGGCGCAGAAGATGGAGGCGGTCGGCAAGCTGACCGGCGGCATCGCGCATGACTTCAACAATCTGCTCAGTCATCATCGGCTATTCCGACATATTGATGCACAGATCGATGCCGGCGACCGCAGCGGGCGTCGCGCGGTCGAGGGCGATCGGTGCAGCTGCCGCACGAGGCGCAACGCTGACCCAGCAATTGCTTGCCTTCGCCCGCAAGCAGGAACTGCGTGACCGGCTGCTCAACTTCAACCAGTTGATCGAGGATTTCCGCCCCATCCTCAACCGACCGCGGGCGGGGGATCGTTCTGCGGCAGCGGCTGGAGGAGAATCTCTGGAACTGCCGGATCGATCCTGTCCGAGGGCGGAGATGGCGCTGCTCAACATCGTCAACAATGCGCGCGAGGCGATCGTGCGCAAAGGCGATCAGGGCGTCGTGACCATCTCGACCGCAACATGATCCAGTCCGCCGATCAGCCCGAAGGCCCGGCCAATCTGGAGGCCGGCGAATATGTGATGGTGCGGATCGCCGATGATGGTCCCGGCATCGATGCCTCGATCGCCGACAAGGTGTTCGATCCCTTCTTCACCACCAAGGAAATGGGGAAGGGGCGGACTGGGCCTCGCCATGGTCTATGGCTTCATGCGGCAGTCGGGCGGACTGGCGACGGTCGATCCGGAGGCCGAGGTGGAGCGGTCCTGTCGCTCTATTTCCCACGCGCGCGGCCGGCGTGACCGAACGCCGGGCCAGCCTGGTGCAGCCTGCGCGCAAGGGCGGGGCCGAGCGCGTGTTGATGGTCGAGGATCAGGAGGATGTCGGCGATCTGGGTCGATCGATGCTCGAGGATCTGGGCTATGATGTCGTCCTGACACGCAGCGCGCGTGAGGCGCTCGATTATCTCGCGGGCGATAGCGATTTTCAGTTGCTCTTTACCGACATTCTGATGCCCGGCGGCATGAACGGCGTCGCGCTTGCACAGGCGGTGCGGCGTGACTACCCCGCCTGTCGGTGCTGCTGACCACCGGCTTTTGCTGATGAGGGCGATCGATGAGGGCGCGCGCTCCTACGAGTTGATCCGCAAGCCCTATCGCCGCGCCGACCTCAACGAGAGCGGATTGCGCGCGGTGCTCGATCGGCCCGGCGCCAGAACCTGACGGCAGCATCTGGCGCAAGCCGACGCGGCTGATTAAAGGCAGCGTCATGACTGAGCTGCCCAAGACGTTCGACCCGCCGCAATCGAAGCCCGCTGGTATGGCCATTGGGGAGGAAAAGGGCCTGTTCCGCCCCGACCGCCCGGAACGCCGAGCCTGGACGATCGTCAACCCGCCGCCCAACGTCACCGGCAACCTGCATATCGGCCACGCGCTGACAACACGTTGCAGGACATTCTGGTCCGCCATGCCCGATTGAAGGGAAAAGGATGCACTGTGGGTCGTCGGCACCGATCATGCCGGCATCGCGACCCAGATGGTGGTCGAGCGCCAGATGAATGCGCGCGGCGAGAAGCGCACCGACTTCACCCGCGACCAGTTCCCGGAGAAGGTCTGGACGTGGAAGGCGGAGAGCGGCGGCAGATCACCGGCCAGCTGCGGCGTCTGGGCTGCTCGATGGACTGGGCGAACGAGCGGTTCACCATGGACGAAGGCTTCAGCAAGGCGGTGCTGAAGGTTTTTGTCGACCTTACCGACAGGGGTTTGCTCTATCGCGACAAGCGGCTGGTCAACTGGGACGCCGGGCTGGGCACCGCGATCAGCGACCGGAGGTGGAGACGCGAAGTGAAGGGCAGCTTCTGGCGTCTGCGCTATCCGCTCGCCGACGGATCGGGTTTTATCGAGGTTGCGACGACCCGGCCCGAGACGATGCTGGCTGACATGGCGGTCGCGGTCCATCCCGAGGACGCGCGCTACACCGCGCTGATCGGCAAGCAGTGCGTTCTGCCGATCACCGGCCGCCTGATCCCGATCGTCGCCGACGAACATACCGACCCCGAACGGGGTTCGGGCGCGGTCAAGATCACGCCCGGCCGCGACTTCAACGACTTCGAGGTCGGCCGCCGTGTGGGCATCGAGGCGCGATATGCTCAACATGCTCGATGCCAAGGCGTGCATCGTTCAGACTGCTGACGGGCTGATCCCCGACGCGTTCGTCGGCCTGTCGACAACCGAGGCGCGCAAGGCCGTTGTCGCGCGGCTGAAGGATGAGGGCGTCCTCATCCCGCATATCGACAAGGACGGCACCGAGTACGATGCCGAGCCGCGCACGATCCAGACGCCTTTCGGTGACCGTTCGGGCGTGGTGATCGAGCCGTGGCTGACCGACCAATGGTATGTCGATGCCAAGACGCTGGCCCAGCCCGCGATCGAGGCCGTGCGCTCGGGCAAGATCAAGATCGTGCCGCAGGCTTGGGAAAACCTTCTTCAACTGGATGGAGAATATCCAGCCGGTGTGTCAGCCGCCAGCTCTGGTGGGGCCACCAGATTCCAGCGTGGTTCGCCGAGGACGGCCGGGTGTTCGTCGCCGAGCGAGGGAAGAGGCGCAAGCCGAGGCAGGCGAGGGCGTGACCCTGACGCGCGACCCGGACGTGCTGGATACGTGGTTCTCGTCCGCGCTCTGGCCCTTTGCGACGCTGGGCTGGCCCGATAATGGCGACAAGACGCTGGCGGGCCGCTACCCGAACGACGTGCTGATCTCCGGCTTCGACATCCTGTTCTTCTGGGACGCGCGGATGATGATGCAGGGCATCCACTTTATGGAAGATGTGCCCTTCAAGACTTTGTATCTCCACGGTCTTGTCCGTGCCGCCGACGGCTCAAAAATGTCGAAGTCGGGAATACGGTCGATCCGCTGGGCCTGATCGACCAGTATGGCGCTCGACGCGCTGCGCTTCTTCATGGCGGCGATGGAGAGCCGGGGCCGCGACATCAAGATGGATGAACGCCGCGTCGAGGGCTATCGGAACTTCGCGACCAAGCTGTGGAACGCGGCGCGCTTTGCCCAGCGAACGGCATCGGCGCCTCGACCATGCTGGAGGCTCCCAACGCCACGCTGGCGGTCAACAAGTGGATCATCGCCGAGACGGTGAAGACCGTACAAGCGGTCGACCTCGCGCTGGCCGATTATCGTTTCGACGGCGCGGCGAACGCGATCTATCAGTTCGTCTGGAGCCGCTTCTGCGACTGGTACCTCGAACTCATCAAGCCTGTCCTGCAAGGCGGCGAAGAGGGCGGCGAGAAACCCGCGCCGTCGGGCTGGGTGCTCGACCAGATCCCGGTCCTGCTCCACCCCTTCATGCCCTTCATCACCGAGGAACTGTGGCATGCCATGGGCGCGCGCGATCATGACCTGATCGTCGCCCATTGGCCGATGGCGGATGCGCGCGCGCTCGACCGCAGGCGGAGCGCGAGATCGACTGGCTGATCCGTCTGGTCAGTGAAATCCGCGCCGCACGGACCGAGCTCAACGTGCCGCCCGGCGCGCGCCTGCCGATGCATGTCCGTGACGCCAATGACGCGACCAAGGCGCGTCTGGAGCGGCAGGCCTGCATTGGCCGTCTCGCCCGCGTCGAGGCGGCGGACGGCGAAACGACCGGCGGTGCCGCGCAGGTGGTGGTCGACGAGGCGACCTTCGTCCTGCCGCTGGAGGGGGTGATCGACCTCGACGCCGAGCGCCAGCGCCTGACCAAAGGCGATCGCCGCCGTCGAGAAGGAGCGGGACGCGCTGGGCGGGCGACTGGGCAATGCCAGCTTCGTCGAACGCGCCAAGCCCGAAGCGGTGGAAAAGGCCCGCGCCGACCATGCCGACAAGATGGCCGAAGCGGCACGGCTTCACGCGGCGCTCGGCCGCACAGGCTAATCGCTATTCCGCCCCATGCTGAAGCATGGGGCGGATTCTCAGCCCTGTTCCCCAACCGTCGCAGCCGCCGGATACGCGGCTCGCGCTGCAACTGCGCCTCGCGCCGGATGACCTGCCGCAGTTCGTCGCGCTTCTCGTGGATCGAGGCGATCACCGGCCCCATCGCCACGCCCAGATCGACCAGCACCGCCTCGGACATTGCAGCGAGCTTTCCAGCGTTTCGGGCACCGCCTCGCTGACGCCCGCGCGGTAGAGTTCGGTCGCATGCGCCATGTCCGCGCGCGCGCGATGATCGGCAGGTCGGGGGCGGCCTGTCGGATGCGACGCGCCAGCCTTACGGTCAGCACCGGATCGTCCATCGTCAGGATGAGGGCACGGGCGGCGGGCAGGTGCAGCCAGTCGACCAGTTCCGCCCGCGCGACATCGCCGAAGAGCACCGGATAGCCAGCGCGCCGGGCTTCGCTGACCAGATCGATATCCGCTTCGACCGCGACATAGGGCTGGCCATGGACGGTCAGCATGTCGGGCGATCATCTTGCCGACGCGGCCGAAGCCGATGATGACGGTGCGTCCGCATCGGCCTCAACTCTGGCGCGGCAGGGGCCATCGCCGCTGCGCGCGTTTCCGATCCGGCGCGAAATGACGCGCCCGGCCTTGGCGAGCAGCGGCGTGATGGTCAGGCCGATCGCGGTCACCGTCTGCCAGAAGCTGGCGGTCGAAGGCAGGATGAGCTGCGCACGGGCGGCGGTGCCCAGCACGATCAGCGTCGTCTCTGACGGGCCCATCATCAACCCGGTCTCCGCCGCCACGCCTCGCCGGGCATGCGCGACGCGCAACAGCAAATAGGGTGACCACCGCCTTCACTGCGACGACGCCGACCACCGCGAGCAGTAGCATGTCCCAATTTTGGCGATCAGCCGCAGGTCCGTGCTCATGCCGACGGTGATCAGGAACACGCCCAGCGCCAGCCCCTTGAAAGGGGCGGTCATCACCTCGACCTCCGAATGATATTCGGTTTCCGCGATCAACAGTCCGGCGAGAAGCGCCCCGACGATCGGCGACAGCCCGGCGGCGGTCGTGGCGACGCTGGCGACGATGACGACGAGCAGCGAGGCGGCAGGGAACAGCTCCGGGCTCTTGGTCCGCGCCGCCTGGGCGAAGAGGCGGGGAGGACGAACTTGCCGCCGAGATACATGGCGACCACGGTCAGGCCGCCGCGCAGCGCCCGCCCGCAATCCCGACCCAGCCTTCATCGGTCGCGGTCGGCGCCATGGCACCAGTGCGAAGATGATGGGGACGAGCGCGAGATCCTCGAACAGCAGCATGGCGAAGGCACCGCGTCCCACCGGGCTGGTGGTGCCGACCAAGGGAGCACCAGCGCGGTCGAGGAAAGGGTCAGCGCCAGCCCGAGCCCGATCGCGCCCGCCAACCCCGCCCATCAAATGCAATGCCCGCCGATCAGGATCGCCGAGCCGAGCAACTCGGCCGCGCCGGTACCGAACACCAGCCTGCGCATCGCCCAAAGCCTACGAAAAAAAAAGCTCCAACCCAATGGAAAACAATAATATGATGCCGAACTCGGCGAAGGGTTCGATCGATTCCGGATTGAGATCGTCAGATAATAGAGCCACGGCATGGGGACGAGCGATCGAGCCCCTGCCGGCCCCACCAGCAATCCCACGGGATGAACCTGATGACCGGGCTGACGCGGAAGCGGGCAAAGGCCAGGATGACGATCCCCGCCGAACCGAGGATGACGAGAGCGTCGGAGAAACCTTGATTGTCGAGCCGTAATGCCATGGTGACAGACTAACCCGGCTTTGACCTGCTTGTCAGTCCGTTATTCCCGCGAAACGAGGATGAGACGATCGGTCCACTGACCAAGGGTCGGTGGCGGGGCTAGGGGCGGCCATGAATGGCCTGTCTCGACGCATGATATTCCCGCTTTTGTCGATGCTGGCGTTGGCCGGCTGTGGGGATGGCGACCGGGCGGCGCGGCTGAAGGCGGCAGGGCCCAATCCCTCGCTGGACGCCCTGATGAAGGTCGCCGATGCGGATGCCGGGGCACGAACCTTTGGGCAATGCTTGGCGTGTCATACCATCGGCAGGGCGAGTTGGATCGGGCAGGCCCAATCTCCGCGGCATCATGGGCAAGCCGGTAAGCAGGCGGCAGTGCGCGTTATGGCTATACCGCCGCGCTAGAGCGGGTCGGCGGGCATTGGGACCGGGCGACGATGAATCGCTGGCTGACCTCGCCACAGCGCTTCGCACCGGGTACGAAAATGACTTTTTGAGGGCTTGCCCGATCCACTCGCGCGGGCGGACGTCATTTGCGTATCTGGAGCGGGAAGGGCGGCAATAGGCCGATGGGCGTAATGGCTCGTTGAACGGCGGGAGCGGGGTGTGCGCTTCGACTTCGCTCATCATGACGCCTTGGGGGGCGCATGGCCTTACGCCCGTTGCAAAGTTGAAAAAAGTATAATCCCATCCCCGTTCAGCCTGAGCGCAGTCGAAGGCCCAGGGATCGGGTTCGCTCTGGGGAGATGGGAGAGGTTTTCAGCGTAGCCTTCGACCAGCGCTCAGGCTGAAGGCAGGTTAAAAAGGGCCCGGAGACTGGCGCCTCGAGCCCCTTCTTCCAATTTTGCGACAGAATTACTGCCAGTTGCCCATTTCGGTTTCGAGGTTCACGCGGATCGCCTCGAAGAACTGCTCGGTGGTCATCCGGGGCTGGTCCGGGCCGATCAGGATGGCGAGGTCCTTGGTCATCTGGCCGTTCTCGACGGTCTTGATGCAGACCTTCTCCAGCGTCTCGGCGAAGCGGACGACGTCGGGGTGTTGTCGAACTTGCCGCGGTACTTCAGGCCGCCGGTCCGGTGCGAAGATCGACGCGATCAGGTTGGTCGAGGTCGCCTTGCCCTGCTGATGCTGGCGATAGTGACGCGTCACGGTACCGTGCGCTGCTTCCGCCTCGATCGTCTTGCCGTCTGGGGTCATCAGGACCGAGGTCATCAGGCCCAGCGAACCGAAGCCCTGTGCGACTGGTCCGACTGCACGTCGCCGTCATAATTCTTGCAGGCCCAGACGAACTCGCCGTGCCACTTCAGTGCCGAGGCGACCATGTCGTCGATCAGGCGGTGCTGATACTGATGCCCGCCGCCTTGAACTGGTCGGCGAACTCGGCGTCGTAGACTTCCGGAAGATATCCAGAAGCGGCCGTCATAGGCCTTCAGGATGGTGTTCTTGGTCGACAGATAGACCGGCCAGCCGCGGCCAGGGCCATAGTTCATCGAGGCGCGTGCGAAGTCGCGGATCGATTCGTCGAGATTGTACATGCCCATGGCGACGCCCGAGCTGGGGAAGTTGAACACCTCCTCCTCGATCGTCTCGCCATTCTCGCCTTCCACTTCATGGTCAGCTTGCCCTTGCCGGGCACCTTGAAGTCGGTCGCCTTATACTGGTCGCCGAAGGCATGACGGCCGACGACGATCGGATGGGTCCAGCCAGGGGATCAGGCGGGGCACGTTCTTGATGACGATCGGCTCGCGGAACACCACGCCGCCCGGATGTTGCGGATCGTGCCGTTGGGCGACTTCCACATCTTCTTCAGGCCGAATTCCTCGACGCGCTGCTCGTCGGGGGGTGATGGTCGCGCACTTGATCGCGACGCCATACTTCTGGGTGGCGTGGGCGCTGTCGATCGTCACCCGGTCGCCGGTCGCATCGCGATTCTGGACCGACAGATCGTAATAGGCCAGCTCGATATCGAGATACGGCTTGATCAGGCGTTCGCGAATCCATTCCCAGATGATCCGGGTCATTTCGTCGCCGTCGATCTCCACGACGGGGGTATTTACCTTGATCTTCGCCATATGCGCATCCTTCAGATTAGGCTGGTTTGCCACGCGTCTAGGGGAGGGGGCGCGGCGGATCAACCACCCTCGGGATAGGCGAAAGGGCCGGGGCGAACCGAAAAGATTGTGCGATGGCCGGTGGACAGGTAGACAGGCCCGATGCCTTCGCTTGAAAAAGCCTCCATCGCCACCACCACGGTCAAGTGGCGTTTTCCCGCCGTCCATCCTGAAGGGCGCAAATATGTGCTGATCGGGGCGGGTCTGACCCTGCTCGCCACGCTGATCACCAAGATATTGTTCTGGCCGTTCGTCGGCCTGTGCATCTGGATCGCGGCGTTCTTCCGCGACCCGTGCGTACCACGCCGCAGGGCGACGACCTGATCGTCGCACCCGCCGATGGGTTGGTCACCATGATCCAACGCGTGCCGATCCCGCGCGAACTGGTCGGCGAACTGGGCGAGGCGCCGCTGGTCCGCGTGTCGATCTTCATGTCGGTGTTCGACATTGCACATCAACCGCACACCGATCGCGGGCGTCATCCGTCAGGTCGTCTATATCTCGGGCAAGTTCCTGAATGCCGATCTCGACAAGGCGTCGGACGAGAATGAGCGCCAGCATTTCGTGGTCGAGGGGCGCGATGGCCGCAAGATCGGCTTTACCCAGATTGCCGGCTTGGTCGCGCGCCGCATCGTCGGTTTCGTCAAGCCGGGCGACATGGTCGCCGCCGGTCAGCGCGTCGGCCTCATCCGCTTCGGCAGCCGCGTCGACGTCTATCTGCCCGATGACGTCACGCCGCAGGTGTGCTGGGCCAGCGTTCGGTGGCAGGTGAGACCGTGCTTGGCCGTGTTGGCGGCAGGCCGATGACCGGCATCGCGCAATAATCCATGGCGATTTCTCCCCGTTTCGCGCGTCGCGGTCCGCCGCGTGGTTTGCCCCTCGGGCGATCGCCCCAATGCGGTGACGGCGCTCGCGCTATGTTCCGGTCTGACGGGCGTGAAGTTCGCCATCGCCCAGTCACGGGAAGCGGCTGTCACCATGATCATGGTGGCGGCGGTGCTCGATGGGCTGGACGGGCGGATCGCGCGCTTGCTGCGGGGAGAGCCGTTTCGGGGGCGGAGCTGGATTCGCTCTCGGACGCCATTTTCGCTGGCGTCGCGCCGGCGTTGATCCTGTATCTCTGGTCGCTATGGACCTTGCCGCGCATCGGCTGGATCGCGGCCCTATTGCTCGCGGTATTCTGCGCGCTTCGCCTTGCGCGGTTCAATTCGCAATTGGATGTCGTTGATCAGCCCCGCAAGACGGCCGGCTACTTCACCGGTATTCCCGCGCCGGCGGGTGCAGGCTTGTCGATGCTGCCGCTCTATCTCTGGTTCTGGACCGGCGAGCCGTTTTCGCTTCGCCACTGCTCGTCGCGCCTTGGTGACGCTGATCGCGCTGCTCATGGTGTCGAGCGTGGCAACTTTTTCATGGACCTCATTCCGCCTCCGTCGCAACGTCCGGTTCGAGGTCTTGGCGATCATCGTACTAGTAGGGGCCGCGCTGCTGTCAGCCCCTTGGCATGCCTTAACGGCGCTTTCGCTGGCCTATTTGGGCAGCATCCGTTCAGCATGATCGCCTATGGTCGGGTCAAGCGGCTGCGCGGCGGCGCCACGCCATCGCGGGGGCTGGCGAGCCCGCCGCCCAGCGCCTGACGATACGCGACGCTCGGCTACGACCAACGTAGCCAAGGGGGGTAAGGCTGGCTATTACGGCCGGTGGCCGCGAGTGAAGGATGCGGCGCCACTGAGGGGCGATCATCATCGCGATGGTGGCGATGGCGGCGACCAAGGCGCCCGTGAAAATCAGAACCTCACCACGATCATCATGATGTCTGCCTCCTGCCTTACCATATAGTCCGGCATATTAACCGGGCTGTAACCATTGGAATTTTTGATCAGTTCCGTCGCTATCACCGCAACAACAGGATGAGTCGTGCCAACGCAGCGACGTTGCGTTGGCGATTCACCGCTATCAAGTCATGTTTCCTTTGCGATCATCTTATGTTCCACCCTTGTTCCTGAGTCAATGGGGCTTAGAACAAAAGTGAACGGGTGTTCGCGCTTGCATTCCCATCCGTCGTTCGCTAAGGGCGCGCTCCTCAACACCGCATGGGAAGCATCATATTTCGGTGCGCATGGGCTTTGCCCGCCGCGTCATCCGCTTCCCAGAGGCATAACCGGAAGGAATTAGATTATGGCGGCACCTGTCGTCACCATGCAGCAGCTGGTCGAAACCGGCGCGCACTTCGGCCACCAGACCCACCGCTGGAACCCGAAGATGAAGCCCTACATCTTCGGCGATCGCAACGGCGTCCATATCCTTGACCTGTCGCAGACCGTGCCGCTCTTCGCGCGCGCTCTGGAGTTCATCAGCTCGACCGTCGCGGGCGGTGGCAAGGTTCTGTTCGTCGGCACCAAGCGCCGTGCGCAGGAGCCGGTCGCCGAGGCCGCGCGTCGTGCGGGCCAGCATTTCGTCAATCACCGCTGGCTGGGCGGCATGCTCACCAACTGGAAGACGATCTCGAACTCGATCAAGCGCCTCAAGACGCTCGAAGAGCAGCTCTCCGGGCGACACGCACGGCCTGACCAAGAAGGAAGTGCTGAACCTGACCCGCGAGCGCGATAAGCTCGAGCTGTCGCTGGGCGGCATCCGCGACATGGGCGGCGTGCCCGACGTGATGTTCGTGATCGACGCCAACAAGGGAAGAGCTGGCGATCAAGGAAGCCAACACCCCGGCATCCCCGTCGTCGCGATCCTCGATCTGGAACGTTTCGCCCGACGGCATCGCTTTCCCGGTTCCGGCGAATGACGACGCCAGCCGCGCGATCCGCCTGTACAGAAGCCGTGGCGATCGCCGCGACCCGTGGCAACAACGAGCAGCAGCGCCGCAGCGGCGCGGATTTC